TGTTGTCCCTCCAACAGATATTGGGGTGGTTGAGACCCCTCATGAGGACCAGGGCTTGTGAACATGAGGCTGCTCCTATCTGTCCATAGAGGGCCTCATCTACTTGGTCTTGCTAGTTGGGTGGCCTGTAGCAGACCCCCACTATAATGTCCGCTGTCCCTGCCCTCCCTTTAATCCTGACCCATAAGCTCTTGGTCAGCTCCTCATCCATCCCCAAATGGAGCTCCATGCACTCCAGCTGGTCACAGCTGGTCATTGACATAGAGGGCGACACTCCTTCCTCCTCTCCCCTGCCTGTCCTTCCTAAAGACCCTGAATCCTTCCATTCCAACATGCCAGTCATAGGAGCCATCCCACCATGTCTCCATGATGCCAGTAATATCACAGCCCTGCAGCTGTGTGCAAATCTCCAACTCTTCTTGTTTATTCCCCATGCTACATGCGTTTGCAGGAGACATTTCAGTTGAGCACCTGATGAAGCTGGCTGACTGGCTGGAGTGTGTGGAATTCCTTTGTGCTGCATTTCAGGTGCTCTCCCCCTGACCTGTGATCCTATTCCCAGCTCTGGGCATTTATTGCTGGCGCTGGCATCAAACTGGTAGGAGTGGGATGGACTGAGGTTCCCCTCCCCTGGCAACTTTAGTTTAAAGGCACAAATGTTCTTAGATGCGTATGCCAAATACAGAGGAGTAGGTGCACGGACTGCAAAGACTTGCAGTTCTCTAATTGTAAGGGATTTTATGTGTTTCTGGAGTATTTACAGTAATTCTCACTAACTACAAAAGGTAATGTAACTTAGAGGTTTTGAAAGAAACTAGCTAAGCAAGCTAGCAATCCTACAGATAGAAATGGCTACGATTGTTAGTAGTGTTGATGTATTTTTTTAATGTTGCACTTAAAAGCCACTAAATAATTTATTGACGATGTTTGGGAGAGCTTGCTCTCTGTTAATGGTGTCATGCATTGTCATGTGTGCAATAGGAAATGTTCATTCCGTTACATTTTTTAAAAACTGTCTTTTTTTTTTTTTTTCAGGCCTAAGGACTGTCTCCGTTCTATTATGAAGAGAGTGAACCATAAAGATCCCCATGTTGCTATGCAAGCATTAACAGTAGGTTCTTTTTAATGTAGTGCTTTTCATTCCTGAAAAGTTATATTGCAAAAAATCTTCTCTGGGTATTAATCCTTCTTTTTTTAGCTTCTAGGAGCATGTGTATCAAACTGTGGTAAAATCTTTCATTTAGAAGTCTGTTCAAGAGATTTTGCCAGTGAAGTAAGCAATGTGTTGAATAAGGTAATGTAGTACATTTGTTTCTACAATTCATAGAAAAGCTAAATCAGAGAATTGGGGTAATCTGAAAGCGGAATAGAATCTACTTTTGGAATACTGGAAATTTTGGGGGGGGGAAAGATACATGATTACTGGGAAGACTGTGGCTGTGAGAAAGAACTTCCTGAATTCCACTTCACACTACAGTTACTTATGTATTCCTTTCAGGGGAGGTGTGATGTGTTAATTTATAAATATGCAAATTAATTTTCACATTAAATAACAGCAATGAAACACAGACTACAGATGTGGTGAAAAGGAGATAATACAGGGCTTTTATATAACCTTGTTTTACTTTATTTTGGGCCTAGTACATATTGTACTAGTACAAACACAATGCTGGTGTACTATTCTCCCTTTCTAATAAAGATATCCCTTAGTGATACACTTGACTTCAAAATAAAATGTCTATATAGTTTATATTGACAGTAACATGAAATTATTTGAAATTAAGGAATTAAGAACAGATTTCTACATTATTTAACTAGTTTCTACCGTGCTTTGCAGGGTCATCCAAAAGTTTGTGAGAAGCTGAAAGCCCTTATGGTGGAATGGACTGATGAATTCAAGAATGACCCACAGCTTAGTTTAATATCTGCTATGATAAAAAATCTTAAGGAGCAAGGAGTTACTTTCCCAGCTATTGGTTCACAGGTATATTAAATTTGTGCTTGTTCTTAAAGAGTGTCACAAATTCTTTTTGTCCTCTGTTCTGTAGTTTACAGTTTGTAGTCTTGAATTCTATAATGTATTTGACAAACAAAATGAAATCTCTCTTGTCTTAATAAAACATTCCTCTGAGGCATGAAATGTTCTAATTTACTTTAGATTCTATATTGCAGATGAATACAAATCAAAACAGTGAACTTAATGCATTGTATTATGTTGAATTCATTTTTACATCTTTCACTTTTGGCTAGGCTGCTGAACAGGCAAAAGCAAGTCCAGCTCTAGTTGCCAAAGATCCTGGTACAGTAGCCAACAAAAAGGAAGAGGAGGATTTAGCTAAAGGTGAGTGTGTTTACTTGCTGACCTGATGAATATATTAGTAAATATCTAATAAAGAAGGAACAAATGTTTTGCTTCCTTCCTCTATGTGAATAGTATATTTATGAATTGTGGTTATGATTTCTATTCCTTTTGTTTTGTACCCTTCCTAGGGTGTTAGAGATTAAAACTATCCTATGGGTAAAAAATATGAAAATATCCTGGGTTTAATTTTTTTTTTCCCCTTGCCAAACTGAAACAACAGAGTAAAAGATTTGCAAAATCTCGTGTGAAGGACATGCTCCAATATGGAAATGTTTATTACAAGTTCTGGACTTGCATTTTCCTTCATCCTGGGGCAAGTGAAGCACATTCATTTGCAATATAAGCATTTGATAGAAGGAGCAAATAAGGATTATAGTATAAGTTGTATGCACAGTTGTATTCAGCATTTTGGGTATAACTTGGTATTACTTAAAACTTTTATTCCTTTGAATGCTGCTTCTGTACTATAAAGCTTTGATTGCTGTAAGTGTAAGTGGCTGTTAAATGTCTCACTGCAGTCCCTGTAAACAAAACTAGGTTGGTTTCTTTTGATTTACTGTTGTACTAAAGTATATTTAAAGGTCATTTAATGATCCTATACCAGACGTGTGAAGACTTATTCTTAGAGTGGATTGATCTTTGTGGTTTAGATACTGCTTCTTGAGGTCAAACTTCAGCAATCCAGAGACATCAAATGTTAGCCCTTGTGTGTGGCATGGCTTTGAGTATGCGTGAAGTTCGTGTGCTAGTAGTTGGTGGATGTTTGCAGTTTCTCATCTTTGACAGAATATTTTTTTTATTTAGCTATTATCTAATATAACATTGATTTATTTAAATTACCATTAGCCCATCTGTATATGTTACTAATGGTGATTTGGTTGACCCACCAAGGTCTCCTTTTCAAGGGATTTGTTTCTTAAAAGTTCAGATTCTGCATGGGTTCTCTAATGTTTGTTCCTTTGTTTTTTGTGTCCCATTCTGTCCCTTCTTAAACATGATCATTTTTTCCACAAACTTGGAGGAGTTTAATATGAGTGAAAACTTTCTGTTCAGTGAACCTTAATTGAAAATGACCAAGAAATGTAAAATTACTCAAGGAATGATAGGGAGGGAACAGGAATGGACAGAATTTTGCTTGTCTAAGGAAATTTTTTTTTCTTAATTATGAATTAAGGAGGCACTTATTTACTGTAAGGGTGACTGAGCACTGGTACAGGTTGCCCAGGGAGGTTGTGGAGTCTCCATCCTTGGAGATATTCAAAAGCCGTCTGGACGTGATCCTTGGCAGCCAGCTCTAGGTGGCCCTGCTTGAGCAGGTGATTGGACAAGATGACCTCCAGAGGTGTCTTCAACTTCAACCAATCTGTGCGATTCTCTGATTTTCTTAATTCAGGCTAAAGGCTCTAATCTAACAGAGGAACAATGTGTACCTGAACAGCTGTATCTTTTTAATGTTTCAAGCGATCTGGAAAAGTTGAACATCATGTGCGTGCTAGTAAGAATGTAAATATAAATACTTTACATCAGTTCAAGATGATAATATAATACTAAAAAATGGATGACTTCACTGAGTTATCGTGTTTGTGCTTAAGTGCTATTTATCCATCCTGTCCATGTTGAAAGCCTCAGTGAATCTATGGGCAGAATTGTGGTCTTCAGTTGTAAAACATCTTTTTGGTTTTTACCATTATTTCTAAGTGAAAGGCAGAAGTTGATTATGATGCAATAGGAATGGATTTATACTAAAAGTTTTCACAGAGTTAAATTTTCATATAATTCAACCCATTTTTATAGGGAATTTTCATGTCAATAACTCTTCTTTTGTAGCTATTGAACTATCATTAAAAGAACAAAGGCAACAGCAAACAACACTTTCCAGTTTGTATCCGAGCACCTCAAGCCTTTTAACAAATCACAAACACGAGGGCCGAAAGGTTCGTGCAATCTATGATTTTGAGGCTGCTGAAGACAACGAATTAACTTTTAAAGCTGGAGAACTTATAACTATCCTTGATGACAGGTAATTTGTATAGAATACCTACTACAAGTATATTAGACTGTAAAAATCAGTGGAGAGTAGCTATGTAGAAGCATACATTGGAATACAATTGCAATAAAATATATTTACATATTAATACATTATTTAGTTACCTCCTAGATTTTTACATACAAATGTAGCTGCATAAAGATTCTTGCATAAAGATTTCTGTGTATATACAAATTGTATTTATGTACAAGTAATATAAATGCCTTGTAAAGTGCAATTCTTAGGTAAATTCCATGTGAGTATGGTTTTTTTTTTAATGTATAGGGTTTTTAATTATTTTTATCTTTAGTGATCCAAATTGGTGGAAAGGTGAAACTCATCAGGGTGTAGGATTGTTTCCATCTAATTTTGTAACAGCTGATCTCTCTGCTGAGCCAGAAATGAGTAAGTAATACTACATTTATGTATATATGTTAAGCCTTGCCAGGGCCCAAGGGATATTTCTGTAGCGATGTACTTTCCCTATTTCCTTTCCCTTGTGGTAGAGTTCAGTTGCAAGTTAATGTGATACTTGAAGTAAAACTGAAGAGCTCTTGCTATTATCTCAAAAACAACAGTCATATCTTTGTGTCAGACCACGGTTGCCTGAGTTGGCATCTGCTAAAAAATATGATGCTGCCTACTGCTGACTTGGTCAGTAACTTCCATGTAACAACTCCATTGACACCTAGATAAATGTAGGCATCAGCATTTTTTTTCCAAATTGCCTTTTTGCCTGGTTGCAATGGTACATATCTAATCAAGGAAAAACTGAAGGCCGGATGGGCGTCAGAGAGAGATTACCACTGTTCAAACAATTCAAGAAACCTACCTACTGTAGGTATGTATGTCTGCATAATGAAAGATTATTTTTTTTCTGCATACTGATTATCTTCTTGTATCTGTTTATATCAGTCTAACCTAATCTAAATATTTATTAAAAATACTAAATATTAGAGAAGGTCTTAAGATGCTAGAACTGATTTCTGTAAATCTGATGGGTTTGCAAGATTAATCTCCTGTGATCTCAATATGAGCGTGCCAAAGGTATGAGCAGATCACCAGAATTACATGCTGTAGGAGTCATCTGTTCTATGTTAAGACTAACTGATAAGAGTAGTATGATAAGAGTAGTATTTGGCAGGTCTTTTGTTGTGGCCTCCCCTACAGAGGAGTGAGATGCTTCTGTATGTACTATTTGATGGAGAAGAAATAGCAAAATTTGAGAACGTTCAATTCTATGCTTTGCTCTGGAGAAAAGAAGACTCCAGTTTGTCATAGAGGATTTTACCAGTTTTTTTTTAAACTTGAATCATTAGCCCTATTTCTTCCAGTCGCTCTCTCTTCGCCTGTTTTCCTGATGACTTATAAGTATGTTACATGCAGGGAGGCTATGATGAAGAAGTTTACTTGCTAAAACATGTTTCTATTGACCTTTTGTGAGCTGATGTCATTTTTATGCAATTTACAGATTTGTTTATGGAAATTGTTTAAGTCTATGGAGATGTTTTTGTCCTTCAAAAGTCAACAAAATACTAATTTTTTTTAAATTTTCACAGTAGATGTTTCAAATGCAAAAAACTTAGGCAACACGCTAGCTCTATAGCCTTTATGTTGTTTTGCTTATTTTTATTTTATAAAATAAAATCTGTCTGTTTAATCTTACAGTGAAAGCTGAGAAGAAAACAGTGCAGTTCAGTGATGAAGTTCAAGTAGAGACAATAGAACCTGAGCCTGAACCAGTTTATATTGATGAAGTAAGTGTGATACGATTTTCAACTGCTGTTACATTTAAATATGTGACATTTAACCTTTTCATCCTGTACCTCAAAAACAATTTGAAACATCAGGAGAACATAATCAAAAGCTAATGGGAAGGGAAAGTTGATTTAATTTAAAAAAAAAAAAAAATCTGCAGTATTCTGATTTGTTCATGTGTCTTGAAGTTCTTAGGAATTTCTGAAACTGAATTTGGAAACTGCATTCCATTTAGGGCACTACTCCAGGATTGTACAGCTGTTCACCTCCAAACTAAAAGCTTGGCTGGAGTGGCACATTTGCTTTCAAGTTTTGCTTTAAGTATTTCGGGATACATCAGAGATACCCATCTTGAGTACAGGCTTAGATTTATTTCCAGTATAACCACCACTGTCTTCCCCCAGTCTGAAAGATCTCCTTCCTTCTCTGAAAACTGTGACCTTTTTGTTGCTCTGTAAGTAATATTTAATGAGATTTGCACAATCTCAATGCAGTGATTCTGCAAGGTTCCCAGGGACTCTCAGCCTAGGATGTTTTTCCCTGCCTTTTTTTTTTTTTTTTTTCCTTTCTCTCCCAGGAGGTTTAAAACTGTTCTCTTCAGATTTTTTTGCTTTCTCTCTCATGACCTTCCATTTCTTTCTCAACTTGAGTTCTGCCATTGTTTTTTGAAATGAAAAATCAGTTACTGCCTTCCTAAAGTCCTATTTATCTCCTGCCTCAAATACTTTTCCTCCCAAGAATTATAAGTTACTTTGTAATCTGCTGAAATAGCTTATCTCAGGCCTGCCTCGAGGTGCCTTCCAGCTTTTGTCTTCTGTTATTCCACATTAGTTTACGTTTTAGTGTCTTATTTTGTTTTTAAAATTATCATAGTATAATTTTTAAGGGAGTAGTTCATTTGGCTTCTTTCTTCCTTTCCTGGGGTTAGGGAGGAAAAAACATGATTTTAGTTTCCACTTTGATACAAGCTGTGTAACTCTGACCTGCTAAGCTGAGTACTATCAAATAAATAGCCTTTAAAAGTGATTTTTAATCATTTACATATAATGTTTGGTTAAGCAATATAGTTCACTCCAAGACACTTTTCCAAGAGTTTATGCCTGTTAATTTTCTACCATTTTGCATTTTTATAAATGGGTTGCACTTAAACTGGTTAATCAAGGATGACTTATTCTGAAGTCAACCTTGTAACCCCTCCAAACATGATTTTAAAAAAATCCCTTTCATATATATTAGTAATGACATTGCTCATGTGCTGATAGGCCTCATACACTTAGAAAATGCAGGATAGTTTTTCAATGAATTTGGTTTGAAGTACCCATTTCTTATTAAAGTACTCTTTCAATGTATTCTGTCAAAACATTTGCACTGATCCCACTAGGTGGTAGTATTGCATATGTAATAACTAGAATTGAAAAATAGAAACTGCTCAGAAAATACTGTTTAGAAAGACTTTTAGGAATAAAGGGGTATTCTGCACATTCCACTTGTTACTACTAATAATTTTTACCATTTAGCTTTTCCTTGTTCAAGCATTTTCATTCCTGTAAAGTAGCACATCTGATTTGTATTTTCTTAAAGTTAGTCCAGATGATTTCCAGGTCCCAAGAGATCCAAATGGCTGTTGTAAATAGCTGCTTTAATGTACTATCCTGAAAGTGTTAATTCTCCCCCCCACATACGCCCTAAATACATAATTTGTGTTCTAGGATAAAATGGATCAACTGTTGCAGATGTTGCAAAGTGCAGATCCATCTGATGACCAGCCAGACCTCCCAGAATTGCTTCATCTTGAGGGTAAGAAAATCTCATAAGTCTTTTTGTTGTTGTTTTCCTCTCTAGTAATTACCTATATCAAAACAAATTGAAACTAAGGTGAAACTGCTTCAGCTTCATGTGCACACCACAGGCATGCCTGAGAAAAGTGCCTGAGCTGTAATTATCTTCTCACTTCCTCTTTCCCACATCTAAGAGAAGGAAGTGCAAAATTTTAAATTAAACCAAGCCCACTTCTCTCTTAAGGAAACTGTATTCCATACTCTTTTCCTTTTCAAGACCCAGGAATACTTAATTCAGTCTTATTCATCCATGGTTTTTTCCTCCATGGAGTAGCACAGCATGAGCTGCAAAAGGACTGTAAGGAAAATTGTATGAGAGGAAGCAGAAATACTACTGAGGCTTAGAATAGACCTGTGGGTCTCCCACATGCTTTTCACTTGCATGTGTATTTCTATAGGACTTTAGTATTAGCAAATACCTTATAGAGTGCTACAAATTACAGTAGTCCTTTAGATTCAAATTATTCAGACTACCTCTTCAAAGAGGCATTATAGACCATTCTATCTGGGTTACAGATACAGAAAAAAAATTTGGAGGGGGACTTTGGAGAAGAAAGTAACGAAACTTACCCATTACGAGACAGAGCATTGGCTTAAATTGACAGTTCAGATAGAACCAGACTTTGTTAAGAAAATGGCAGATTCCAGATCTTTAATCAGGAAAAAGTACATAAACTTGTAAGCTTTTGGATATCTCCCATTTTTTCCACACCGTCATACCTTTAAATGAATCCTTTTGTAGGAACTACACATCAGTGATGTGTCTGCACATATTCTAGTTCCACTAAAGCTAAAGGAGAGGTAAAAAGAAACATGAATGTTTTTATTCTTTAAAGTACCAAATATAGTTATAGAGGCTGTTACCTAAGAAGTGGATTGCCTACTCCTGGTCCAGGACAGAGGCAAAGAAGTTAGAGATATGCTTGTTAACCGACCTCCAGATATGGCTTACATTAGGATCTCCTTTCAAAATGCATTGTGAGATCATTAGAACAATGATGGATTTTATATTAAACCATGGGACTAATCCTAGAATCTGAAAGCTGTTATGTAGTCAGATGATCGCTCCCCAGCTACCTACAAGAGCGCTTGCCAAACATATTGCTCTGTATAGTTCTTCAATGCCATATTCAAGACTGCACTTGCTCTACACTCAGGTAGGCCTTGGGTAGCTACTATTTTTGGCATCGTTTCTGGGAATTTTGTTATAGATGCGTGTTGGATCTAGGGTTGCTACCAGTGGTGGCAGGTGCTGATTAATATTTGGCAAAAAACCACTTCAACACTTCATTTTCTTCTGTCATCCAGTCATAAATGTATTCAAATTGGAGAGCTCATCTCAATGCTTTCAGGGCCCTGGGGTTTGTGGTTGGCAGCAGGGCAGTCATTGTGTTAGCGTACAGACATCTAAAGCAATCCTTGTCATGCCTTTTACCACCCTTTGTGTTATACATAAAAATAGGCAGAACTTACACCAGGTTTTACATCTTTTCCTAGCATTTCTGCCAATATATTACTGATCCCAGGTTCAAAGAAGCAATGGGTGCCTTTCATACAACTCCTCTTTCACCTGGAGTTGCCCTCAAGGAACACATCAGTGATGCCCTTTCACCCATCGTGGCCCAGAGGCTTTCAGGACCTTCTGCATCTCTAATTTCGGAAAACTGGAAGTGAAGACAGTGTTCCAGAGCTGTTTATAATGCATATAGGTCATATTTGATGGCTGAATCTTTTTTTTTCATCTCTCAGTTTGAATGTCGAGTGGCTCTTGGGATTAAACACATCTCTTGATTATTAAATAGTTCATTGCTTGGATAAGTCGGCACATTTTGCATTCTGGAGTGGGGCTAAACTGTAGTATCCTCTTTCAGCTTCCTTGTCTGTTTTACATTTGACAAACTCAGTCTTACTGTTAGTTAACTGTGATCTGCTTGGCAATTACATGAACAGCATGTCCTTGTGGTGAAAATTGGTGGGGGGTGCATTTTTATTTATTTTAATGCTTTTCCATTTTACTTCTAGTAAGTTGTTGAGTTGCTTTTTGCACATATTAGCAGTTTGAAAAAAAACCCCTTCCCCCAGTTAGCATTTCAGTGAGATAGCAATGTGCTATTGGTGTCTTTGATGTGCAGATGACTTCAATTATTGCAACCTGTTTTCCCATTCATTTGTAATAATGTTAGTTGAGCACGTGATCTAGGTTTCAGTGGCAAATTTTCTTCCTTGAAGAAGAGATCACCTATCAGATTTACCTGAGCTTTTTCATGCAAAATAGTTTGAATTTTAGGTTCCCTGGATGTTAAGTGTGTTTTGTTTTGTTGTATTTTTATTTTATTTTTAAACTGTACTGATCTGCTGGATCTCATTCTTAAATTGTTTGTGATGCTGCCACTGTTACTATAACTTTTTTGGCATACAGATTATAAAAGAATTTTGGACTAGCATCTACACATTTCTATCTGATAATTTTTTTAAAAAAATACTTTCTGACTTGCAGTATGGAAATCTTTCTTACTCTGATATATTTTAATGTCCTTCTATTCTAGCAATGTGCCACCAGATGGGACCTCTCATAGATGAAAAGTTGGAAGATATAGACAGGTAAAAAAAAGTACATGTGCTTTAACTCAAATTAAGATTCATTCTTCGACAGACCACTGTTGTTACTTAACGATATCTTAATCATGTCTGTGAATACTGGCAAAGAAAATAGGTGTATGTATTAGTAGCTTCTCATCTGGGAGGAGGTCTGAAGAGTTTTTTCCTAGGCACATAATATTTTATAGTATTGTACCGTTTGACATTGTGGCACTTGTCAGGCATCACTTCACAGGCAGTAAGAGTATGTTGCTTATCACACCTCATGAAAGTTTCCTGGTATTGTCTGTTCTGTACTGAAGTTATCCAAATTGTAGAATAAGCTGTAAAATGTATTTTCTAGGAAACATTCAGAACTTTCAGAGCTCAATGTTAAAGCAATGGAGGCTCTTTCTTTGTATAACAAATTGATGAATGAAGACCCGATGTATTCCATGTATGCAAAACTACAAAACCCACAGTATTATATGCAGTCGTCTGGTGTTTCTGGCTCTCAGGTATGTATGTAACCTTTAATAGCCGTTGATGTTATCAAGTACATACTGAACTATGGTTGATTTCTTATAAATTACTAGTGATAAACAGTTTTTCATGTGAGCTAGCTTTTTTACAAAACTTGCTCAAATATTTTTCCTTTTTTTTGAAATATCAATAGAGCGCATTTAGCATTTAAATTACTGAAGTTAAAAATTATAATTCTTTCATGGCAGCATTTCCATGTAAAAGGTCTTTTAAACATTTAAGTATTTAATTCCATAGTCTAATGCATACTTGCTGTATTTTTTTCCTCTTTACAGGAATATGTAACATTTCAAACTGTTTTTCAATAATTTACTTTTTAAGCAAGTAAAAAAAAAATTAAGCCAACTTATTAATACCTATGCAGTATTATATAAACATTGAAGCAGTTTTAGTTCTTTTAGCTTCGTAAAAATTTGTACTTTCTTTCAGTGTCTTTTAAGATGAGGATGTATGTTTTTTGCAGTGTCATTAAGAGGAACATTGTCTTCCTTTCATATATAATAAGCAATCATTTTGTGACCCTATCAATTAATTTTAGTGTTTTATAAATGGGCATGTGTCTGGGGAATCATAAAGGGAAGAAAATGGATTTGGGGATAAAGATGAGCCGGTGTAAAGTTATGAAAAGTTAGGGGGTCTCATGCCTTTGTTGCCTTCTAAAATTCTTTTGCAATATTGGTAAGCCTTCTATGGATATGTAATCTGAGATTCATGAACCCTAAGATAGGAGGGCTGTATATTGTAAGCTTACATGAACTCAATTGTGCATGAGACCCGATAATTTCTTCTAGTAATTTGTGTTAAGCCAAATAGTGATTGAACAAAAGAGTTGGGTTTAGAAATTTAGTCTTCATTTAGAAGATAGTTTGCACACCTACTAGCAAGCTTTTGCTCTAGTTAGTTGTAAAACATTACCTTATTTTCAAATGAAATTTTCTTAAGACCTCTTTTTCCCTTCTTCCTAACTCAAACAATTTTACAACGGCAGTCTCAACAGTTACATGACATGACTGGTTAACTAATGACATGAAAATAATGCGTTATTTGCTTCCCATTTTAGCAATTCACCTTAGTGAAAGTTATCTGGGCATCAAAAAGTATTCTGCTTTGCACTGCTATTTGTTACATGGTTTAAATCCTTCAGTATTTTCCTACCCAAGTAGAAGCTCTTAACTGGCATAAGTGATAGTCATTAAAATAAAATTTGGAATACAAGTTTTCCAGTAAACTACTTGATCTTTTTGGTACTGGAGCCTGAGGTTAGAAATGTAAATAGTGTCCTTGGTAACTTTTTCATACTGCAACACTTAATAGAAGGCAATTGGTTGCTTTCTATTAAAACATCTGTAATAAAAGGCTTGAGAGAGTGTTTTTAAGTTCTAAAGTCAGATATTAAATACTAACTTTTCTTGTGTTTTATTTTTAATATTCCTTTATTTAACTTTGTAGGTTTATCCGGGGCAACCTCAGACTAATGCGTATTTGGTGGCTGGGAGTGCACAGATGGGCCATATTCAAGGCTATAGTCTTCCTCCTGAACAGCTCTCTTCTCTCAGCCAAGGCACAGTTACTCCATCTGCCAGCTCTGTACCGCCTGGTCAGCCTGCACAGGCGTCTTACACAAAGTAATTTTAAATGTTTTCCTATTCAAGTTTAAATCAATTTAAACATAAAGAACTAGAGGTAATAGTTAAAGGAGATTTTTTTTTTCTTATGGAAGTATAAATTTAAATGCAATTGAAAGATAATTCAGTGCAATTATTTCCAGTGTGCTTTTTATTGGTGTCGTGGTAAAAATTCCTGACAAACTTCAAACTTTTTTGTTCTTTTTATAATTTTCTCTAGTTTTTAATTTTATATAAAAGAAATT